TAGCCATCCCCCTTAAGAACCAAATAAATTTTACAACCTTGAAGAAATCGGGAAGCTCCGAGGAAAATGATCAATGGGTTCGATCCACTGAGAAAACTCCGGGTGCTAGCTCTTCACGAGCTCCTCCGGCATCGGTTGCGGACGATGATCCAGAGCTTGAAGAACTCATGCGCGATATAGATGATCACGTACCCGAGAATGAGTCGGTACAGAAAGAGAGTCATATGCCTCCATACTTTCGATCGTTTATAGAGACTCTTGATATGAGGTTTGCATCCATCGAGACTCATTTAACTGCTAACAACGAATCGATGAATCATCGATTCGATGCTATGAACGAAAGGGTCAACGCACTTACACGAGATGTGGCTAACATATGGGCACATCTATCACCTCCCGATCCACCAATGGACGAGTATACATTTTTCTTGCTTTGTTTTCTTAGGTTGATTTAGAACTTAATTGTTAAAACATTTTGAATGTTTTTTATTTTTGTGTTATGGATGTTTGAATGTTTATATATATATATATATATTGTTATTTGACTTTAATTGTTTGAATTTGGTTTGTTCAATATTATTTTACATGTTAAAAATATGCATCATTTTCATCTTAGTTAAAAATATGACCAACTACCATTGCACACTATTTTGAATATTGATTATAGGCTAATGGTTAATCTTTCTCTTGATTGTGATCTTAGCAGCTTAAGCTATATTTCGTTATAAATCAATTGGCTAAATTTTTTTAAAAACTTGTTTAAAAATGTTTTATAGAGTCTTTTTTATTTAACAAAAAGGGGGAGAATAAAGTAAGGGGGAGTAATTTTAATTTTGAAAATTGATTTCAAAAATGATTTTCAAATAAAATCTTAAAATTACTTAAATATTTTGTTATATCAAAAAGGGGGAGATTGTTGAAAACATTTTGATGTTTCAATATAACAAATTAAGTACAATTAAATTTTAAGATTTTAGTCAATTTTAAATCATATATTCGATTAAATTATTTGAATATCAAAAATATTACTTCAAGTTTTCAAATGTCAATTTTAAACCTTACTTAAGTGTAAAATTGTGTTTTAGTCTTAAAATATTTTTGAAACAATTTTTACAAAGTATTTCGAACAATAACCAGGCCAAAAATTATTTGTGCAAAGGGATGTACCGATACACTCTTGGATGTATCGATACACCCCCAACATCGAATGCATTTTGTGTACTGATACACATCAGATGCATCGATACACTCCTGGCTCCGAGAAATATCGAATGTAATTAGTGTACCGATACACCTGGGATGTACCGATAAGTCAACCAACGGTCGAAATATTTGAATTTTACACTGAGTGTACCGATACACTTGATAGTATATCGATACACCTACGCTCCTAACATATTTTTTAAGTGGAAAACATACAACAACGGCTCTATTGACTTCACCAATGATCCCCAACGTTCAGAATTGATCCAATTTGTATTTAAACAAGCTTAGAAGCCATTGATCAAAAACAAGAAACAAGAATCAAGAAAGAATAAAAAAGAAAGCATCAAACCTTATCGTTTGAGCTTTTCAAGCCAATTTTCCTTCAATATTCCTTTTGCTTTCAAGAGCACATTCTGTGCTCAATTGTATTCATTCTTGAGTGTTCTTTCTTTGTTCTAGAATTGTGCAAACATCTTGCCTTGAGAGGTTTTTATGTAAGTTTGCGAAATTTGTATTCTTCTCTTTGGGAGAGAGTGTTCTCAAGAATTTGAGGTATAATTCTTGAGGGAGTTGTAAGGTTACTCTCTGTCCTCAAAAGAAAGATAAATTAGTGAATTTGTTGGAAAATCCTTAATGTGGATAGCTATGGTAGTGGACGAAGACTTTGGTTGAGAAAGTCGAATCACTCTAAATCGTTGTGCAAATATTTTCAATTTTCTGCAAAAGCTTCCACCGAAATTTTATTGTCAATTCACCCCCTCTTGGCCGATTCATCGATCGATTAACTCAACAAAAATAAATGAAGAAAATATTAAATTTCAGAAAAGAAAAATAAAAAAATATAAAAAAATGTTAAAAGAAAAAATAAAATAAAATGTGGGAAAAAATTGAGAGTATTTATAGGGAGGATTAGATTTTTGTGATTTAGTAAAATTGTTTCTTGATTTTAGGGAAAAATAAAATTCCAAGTAAAGTTGAAAAGGTATAATAAAAATAAAATAATAATAAATAAAAGGGAAATATAATAAAATAATAAATAATAGTAGTAAAGATAAAAAAAGTTTTTTAAAAGTTATTTCTTAAATAAATAATAATAATTAAATAAAAGAAAATAATTAAATAAATAATCTAAAGAGATTGAGATAAAGAGAAACTTATAGTGAAAACAACCTCAGACTTCAGCTTCGCCTCAAATTCTTTGGATCATCAAAACTGATTCTTACTTCAAAATTCATGTCGGTTACTACAAGAACAATTTCTCGTTGCCGACTTGGATTAGTTTCAACAATAACTGATTCTGATCTCCGTTTCCATTTAGCAAACAATTTTGCTAAGTGTGTTCTTAGGAAGTTGAATGTGCTTGAATAAGCCAATTCTTCTTACAATTCTCACGTTTGAAATTGAGCCTTCACTTTAGTCTTCGGCTTGAAATAAAATTAGCTAAGCATGACCAATGTAATACTTAGCATAATTGAAAACAAAATTCTAAAAGAAAATAAAGAAGTGTACGCTAAATAAAGAGAAAGCTAGAGAAGAAAAGAAGATTTTATTCTCTGAAGTGTGTGTGATTTCAAATCTGTCTTTCTAGGCTTACCCTGAGAGGGTATTTATAGCCTTCAAATTCCTAAAAACAAGCTAAAGATAATTCTTAAAATAATATCTTTTATCTTAATTAAAACACTTAAAACTATTTAAACTAAAATACCTAAAACAAAGATAAAATAAAATATATTTAAAATAATATCCTAAATCCTAATTGAAATACTAACATCTATTTAAACTAAAATACAAAGATAAAATATAATATTAATATATATACTAAATAAGCTCCGGACGAAAATGTGTCTACACTTACATTACTTATTCTTTTGATTAAGTTCATCGGCCGTTAACTTCCGTTAACTCATTAATAGAAATCTAAGTTGACAACAAAAATTAAAAAATATTAAAAAAAACCACGGTGTCTCTCATTATCATTTTCTTCCATGCCTTCTTCTTAAAAAAAGAACTCTTCTTCATCTTCTTCTATGCCTCTTCTTCTTCCGAGAAAATCTCACTTGTACCAGCCTTAATATACGGCTAAAGAAATATGCTATCGGTTTTGTTATTATTTTTTTAACATTTCCGATAAAAAAATTACTTAAAATATTATTATTTGTATCGATTTTGTTATTATTAGGCGCTTTACCGGATTTGTTAACATATTCAATAAAGTGTTACCTAAAACATTATTTTTTTTTACCGGTTTTATTATTATTGATCACTTCATATCCTGAATTTTTTACTTCCATATCAACTTTTGTGGTTTTTCAAATCACAAAAAACGTGATTCAACCTCCACGTTCATGTTTATCACCCTATAATCTAACAAGAGTTTTTGTATGGGTATGTTTGATAAAGTTAATGAGAAGTTAATTGGTAAGAAATCCGAATTGTGGGTGCAGTCAGATTACCTCCACTCTCATCCTGGGTATTGTCATTGTTCTATCCTTTATTGTTTTTTCCCATGAGAATCCATTTTACCAGTACAGAGAAGGGTGCGACAACAACAACAACCTTTGAAAGAGGCGGAGGAAGAGTGAAGGTAGTAAGTGTGATGGCGTTAAATAGGTGGGGCGCTTTGGGAGTGGCCGCCGTCGTTGGCAGAGGATGAACGCATTTCTAGGGTATGATTTAGATAGTTCGTAGGTGACATTTTATGCTGCTTTCCAAAGGAAAACACAAAACGTGAAAGAACCTTTCTTTTTTACATGGTTTACATGGTTCATAGGTTATGCTAAAGGTTTAGATGGTTTACATGTAGATGAGGTTTGTAGCATTAAAGAGATGATAATAAATTGGTTTTCAGAGAGACTAAGGCCAGTTAGTGAGTCAAGGCAACCGAGTTCCCACGGGATGTAGCCGATTAACCCTTTGTTAGGAATAAATATCGAGGTAACTCGTTTGCGAGTGCAACTGTGAAAGCGATTCCCGGCCAGTGGCATGGAGTTGAATCAAACTTGGACCAACAGTCGAGGGACCAAGTTGGATAAGATTCCACGGCTACCTTGAGAGCCAGAAGAGAGACCATCAGAATTGAGAGATGAAACCAGTGAAGCAAAGAGAAACAACTTTTGGAAGTGAAAGTATCATCCTTTTTTACTACTGATTTCGCTAATGCCACTCCTTCTAAAGCTTATTTGTTCTTTATCGAAAATATGGATTTCATGCAACGAGAAGTCGCAGTAGAAGAGACGAGAAAGAACACTTCTTTGATGTGTTTGAAAGTGGGAAAGAAAGTGAACTCATCAAGAACATAACTGGTTTTCATTATAGAAAACTTTTTATATTCTTTCAAAAGTGATTTTCAAAATATTTTTAGTTTATTGAGCATTACTCACACTTCTACTGTTATCGTCAAAGAAGAAGAAGAAACAGACTATTATTCAGAAGAAGAAATAAAAAAAGAAGACCCAATACGCGAGTTTTTCTAATATTTTTTTATTTGCCAACTCAGACAACTTTCATTAATGGGTTAACGGAAATTAACGGCTGAAGGACCTGAACCGGATGGACCAATAACGTTAAAGACCAAGAGCACTTAATTAAAAAGCAAATGACCAAAGTAGGTCAGACCGAAAACAAAATAAAACTATTAGCATAATTTATCCTAAAAAATTTAGGCGTGCGAAAATATGTTCCCTTTAAATAATACACTACACTTGATTTTCCAAGAAAAATGGGTCTGCGATCCCTGCTCCATAAACAAACCTAGAACGTAGGGATAACATATAAACGAAAAATTAAAAACAAAGTCATCTTACTTGGACTTTGTATTGAAACGGTTAAATCCAACAAAAGACAACGTGGGAGAATATACAGCAATTCAGCACTTTGAAGTTTTAACGTTCTCAATATGTCAGAGACGCAACTCTTTTCTTTTCTTTTTTTTTACTAAAGAGCTAGAGTATTTGACCAAGCAAAACAGCAGGGGAGGGCCTCATTTCATTCTTCTAGCTTCTAAATGGTACTCATCCAAATCAGCATCAAGATCTTCTGCAGATAATTTCTTACCAATAGGTCCACCATGCCCACGTCCTCGAGTGAATCCATGGCTGGCACCTCCAAGGTAAGGTCCATTGACAACGCCACGAATCCATCCCCTTTCAACCCTGTCCAAGCGGGATGTTTAGTTTTATTTCAAGCATCGAGTATTGGCACAGTATTCCAATTTTTCATTTTTCTTTCAAGTGTCCATTTCCATTTTCCGGGACTCATTCAACTAATATCCGAACATGAGTATTGAATTATGACCCTCCATGGACCTATATTCAACATTCAACCAAATCCGAAACATACACAAACATGGGGAACAATCCTCCAAATATATGAAAAAGTTTGAGCATATTCTCGAGCAAGACACATTACTGCACCCGACACTCATCCTCGAAACTAGATAACATAGGTGCCTGAAATAACGCACATGCGTCAAACAGGACATTCCAGGTACCATTAAGCAGATTCAAGAAACCCAAATACGTGATTAAAGCAATACCCTAAGCAAATAACTAAGGAAAACACTCGAACATCAAACCTTCTAGGGGCCACATTTGGTGTTCTCAGAATGCTGCTTCTGGTTGGAGGGATGGGTGCAGAAATAACTACATTAGCTCCCACGAGCTCAATTGTCATCGGCTTTCCATCAAGTTGAAGATTGTTGTATCTCTTGATAGCTGCCAAAGCATCTGTCTGTCTGAAAAAGACAACTTCTGCAGTTCCCTAATATAAATACTAAAGCATTTTCAGCAGTAGACAAACAAACTTAAGTTATGAAGCTCTTCAAACTTGAATAGTAGGTACCTTTGATCTTCCGTTCATATCGTAATTAATCGAGTACCTCTTCAAGTCGCCAACCTCAGAGAAAAGCACCTATATATCAAACATATCGCTATGAATAAACGGAAAAAAAAAACTATAAATCCTCTAATTTACAACAGACAGAACAACAATAAAGGTAACACCTGTTCGAAAGGCTGATAGGCAAGAAAAGTATATTGTGGGATAGGTGCAGTACCAAGAGAAGTTTCTAGCGGTATTTCCAGTAAAATATAAATGAATTGTTTTACTAGAAAGTTTCAAGCAAGTCAAATTCATATTTATCATAAAGATACCATCATATAATTCAGTCCCACTGCTTTGCTATACTCGACTCTGCCAACCCAAATTTTAATAGAAAATTTCAAGCAAGTCAACTTCATATTATCATAAAGATCTCCAAAATATCGACCATCATATAACTCATTCCCACTGCATTGCTAATGCTATACTCAATTCTCCCAACTCAAATTGCTGAAACCTATGTTACTCGGAATTGAGCGTAACTGTAAGAATACAGATATTTATTTGACAGAAATATACTCATTTTTCTATTATATTTTTGAAAACCATAAAGGCTTTAGAATTTCTATCAATACTTCCACTAAAACATACATATATTTTAATAAAGAGTTTCAATGACTTCAAATTTATATTTATCATAATGATCTCCACAGTCTCAAACACCATACAAGCCAGTCCCACTGTGTTACTAATTGCTATACTAAATTGTCACCGATTGCCAACACACAACAGACATTAAATGTTAGTATCCTAATTAGCAACCCACTTCCAAAGAAGAGACTGCCTCATTTCAGCTCAAACCACATTCTTGTTCATATAATACACTTTCATCAACTACCTACACAAAATGCTAACCAAGAAGATTGTGCATGTGCTCAACTTGTATTACAAAAGATGCTCATACATGAAAAGTACAGCAGATGGTAAGCAACAACATTTCATTACGAACTTACTCCACAAATATAATTGAACAAATCAACTCCCAAAGGCTAACCATTAATCAGACATACTTCTATGCTTTTACCATAATAGGCAAGTACTAAAAAATGCTTCCACCAACTTGCATTGACATCCTTATTGTGAATTCCTCACTACCATGCAAGAAGCATAATTGACCTCTATTACTTTTCAAAATAAAAACAACCCATCCACATCCAATCATCCAATTCATATTCTTAGTAGCCTGAAATAGTTAGACTCTATAGATGAACACCCATACAACAGATTCTCCATCGCCATCCAATATCGACCACTACTTTAGCAACTAAAGAAATGAACCCACGTTTTTTTAACAAATAACACATTTCAAGCTTACACATTTGCATTCACTTTTGGAATAAAAACAAGACTATATCTATAACAACATAGTAATCCGCAAATAAATGAAAAAGGAGAAGAAAAAATAACAACCTTAATATCCTCATTAGAAACACCATAATCCAAGTTCGATATATATAGCTTCGACTCCACATTTGGTCCTCCACTCGGAACCAACTGTCCCTGGCTTGGCGGCACCTCTACTTGCATCGGCATAGCCTGCATTCATAAGCGCGTGAAACACACGCGTTCACAAGCGAGTGGCCATACTTAAAGATATAATAAATTCTCACAAAGAAATTTACGCACATGTGCGTGTGAGCATGCATCCCAATATTCAAATAATTAGGAATTTACGGTTCTTGATGATAAGTTATCAAAACAGTTATCGCAAAATTCACTAAAAATATACATTTTCAATATACGTATATGTTTAGTCGTGTATATAAACAACATTGATTTTTATTTATTACTAGAACTCCATGTTTTTACTTTTTTATTGGAGCATATGACCTTACCGGTGGAACCGGATACGGGGTGGTTCTTATCTGGTCGCGAATGGGTCCACGACGATCAGGTCCCGGACCGGAGATACGTGGCTTGTTACGATAATGCCCTTCGGGTCTTCTTTTGTTACGGATGATTTCGTCGAGTGACATGTCCAGCGAGCCGGACATTTTCAGGATTTCACGTTGCTTTTGGATTTTGCTTTTTCTTTGCTTTTGCCCTGGAAATGCTGCTTAGGGTTTTGTTGAAGCTTTTGTAAGAGTGAGTGGATATTTATGGAGCGTGTGAAACAAGAATCCAATCGGAGGCACGAAAATTTGGTCCACCCTTTGTCATTTTGCTGACACGTGGAAATGTATGGACCCAGCTTTTTTGTTAGCGGGCCTTTGGATTCAACGAAATATTTGTTGCCACTATGATTTCAATCCCACGATTTCTCCTTTCTACGTTTCTTAGTTGCTCCCATCAAAGCTCTTTTTATTATTTGGAATGGATACGCCTACCGCCATTAAAGTTTGAGTTGGTTTCTATTTTCACTAGTGAAGTTTTAAAAGTTATAAAACAATCACTTAAACGTTTACTGTTGTTACTTGAATAATGACAGTAAGATGTAACATATTTACTGAACCAATATTTTTTTATAGAAGCTACTAATTTTATTTGAAATAGGAAATATCTCAAATTACAATAAATGTTTACAATCATAATCATAAATTAAACACATAATTAAGATAATTTCTTATAATCATTAAAAGAAAACTAGCAACTTAATATCACATAATAATCATACGAGTAAAGATTAAAAACCTAACCAAGAAAATTGAACAAAAATAGATACAAACATATCTGATTGCATCGACAAACAAACCATAAAAGAGGATTAAGCTACTGAAAGAACACCGACAAAACCATAAATCAAACTCAAGCGATGTAAAAAGCTATCCACAGATGTAAATCGGATATTCAAATCCAATCTGAGGATCAAAAGCAGGGATGATCAATTAGATATCGAATAAATGATATCTTAATCAGTCGTGACGATGTCAAATCAACCCATAGTAAAAGATAAATAAAAAAATGATCAAACTACCGAAAAACATATCAAAAGGCAGGAAAAAACAAATCACAAGAATAGGAAAGAAAAATGGCCAGACTTATTGAAATAAAAATAAAATAGAGATGTGATATAAAAAGAGAAAATGATAATAAAGAATACAAGCAACCAACATTATAATCTGAATTGACTTGATCTTCTTGAAAATCTTTGATGATTCGTCTTAACCTTTGATTTTCCAAGATCCTTTCTAGGAGAGAAGATTAGAACCGTGTGAATGAATTTATTGAATCTTTTAATTCAAGGGATTCAAGGGGCACTTAGGGTACTTGCATTTCACGTTATTTTTATTCTATCTATTCTATTTTTATTTCATAGTCTTTAATATTAATATGACTTATTTAATTTTTTTCAGATTATTTTTGACGCATCAAAAATGGCTTCCTCGCCCATGTATGGCGTTGAAAAAAATTCAACGTATAAGGTTCTAACCAAATTATTTCTTGAGCTGTGGTGTTTGCTATAGTGTAAGGGGATGTCGCTAGGAATACAATGCAACTTTAATTTTTCTAAGTGGAAGACGTATGTATTACCATGCAACTTTAGGTTTTTCAAGGTTGAAGACGCATGAATTACCATGCGACTTTGGCTTTCCAAGGTTGAAAACGCCTAGAAATCTTGGAGCATTTGTAAGGCATTGCAGCAAATACCTTCTTTGGGGAAATAAATTGAGGAAAACACTATTTGGGGAGTTCTTTTTTTCAAACGCCCTACATGACCCATTTCCCCGTCAAAACCCTTTTACTGGTCTAGAACGCTGAAGACAGAGATGCAACTTAAATAACTTACTATTTTGTGTGTTCTAACGTTTCTTTCTTTGTGTTTCATTTTACTTATTGTATTTTGATGAATATATAATATGTTTTAACTAAAAAAGTTTTTTTTTTTTAATTCAAATTAAGGGTTTTTGTTTTACATTGACTACACCTCAAACAAAGTCTTTCAAATTGCTTGGCAAATTAGGAATTTTTGAATTTTCGTTCATTTTAACCATAGTTTTCATTTTGTTGTGTGTTTATATGCTTTGCAACACTTTTTTGGTTTTGCGTTAGTAGGAAATGCTATCTTTCTTCATTGGTACAATAAAATCATTGTGTGAAACCTTATTGGTTATTTTATTAGACCCATAGTGCTTGGGTTTGTTTGAATAGTGTAATCGCCATATATTCTTTACAGTTGAGATTAATTACTTACTCCATTGAGTATATTTTTGTGAGGTTTTGCAATTCTTTTCTTGTGAATGGTTTTTATTTCTTGATGACTTATATAAAAAGATGATATACCATAAATTACTCTTGAGAATGTGAGTGATATACCATAAATTACTCTTGAGAATGTGAGTGAATTACAAAAAAAAAAAAAATGTAATGGAGATACGAGCACTACAGCAAAATAGAGTTTTAGATGCATTTTTTTAGTCCTATAGCGGCGTTTTTAAGCGCCGCTAAAGTTAGTGGCGTTTGAGAACAAAAAACACCGCAATAGGTCAAGATCTATTGCGACGTTTTTGGAACAAGTGCCGCAAAAGGTTAATATCTATAGTGGCATTTTTGGATACAAACGCCGCAAAATGTCATATCTATAGCGATGTTTTTGGATACAAACGCTGCTAATTACCTTTCTTTAGCTAAGATTAATTGATTTTGCATATTTCATTTCTGCTCTACATCACCTAAATTTAATATCATGTAGCTTTATCTAATTAACAACCATACATTTTATTTAAGACACAAGTTATGCAGAAAAATACTTAACAACAAAATAAATTAAAATTTATAAACATTAAAATTAAATTTAATATAGTTTGACATAGTTCTCTAGAATTTAGTCTAGGTTCTTTCACTTTCAATTAAAAAATATTATTCACTAGAATTTAGTCTTCATTGTTCCTTCGTATGTCTTGCATTTTCCAATCAATCTTTACAACGTGAGTATCATAGTAAACTTATTGGTCTCTCCTCTACTAAATTCCAGAAAGAAACGCAAATTAACATAGAGATGGAAGATTATTGAGAGATTTAAGAAAAATGAGTGCATCTATTAATCACCTGCAAGCATAACACGAGATTTTCAATGGACACCTCATTACATTCAGAATGCTCAAATGGGATGGATCGCTCTTGTACTGCCTTCTTTACATTAACCCATTCATCATCCTCAGCCCCATATCCAACAAATCTGACATGGACTTCCTTCAACAAATAATACATTTTATCAAATGACTTAAATATTAGGCCCATAAAAGATTCAATTCCCATAAAAGAATTATAACTACTTCCATTGCGTTACATTGAGCCATTTTCACAACCGATTTCAGAAATTAATTTAACACAAAGCAACCATAACCGGTAAAGGAATCGAAAAGAAAGGGAGTTAAAACTGACATGGAAAAATTCGAGTTGGTCCTCGAGATTCTCGAGAGCGGTTCTGATAGAATTAAGCTCACCCATAAATAGAATTAAGCATTTAATTGTGTTCAGTTGGATTCCTCTGTTAAGTAAATGTTTAAAAGTGGCAAATGACTCAAACAAACTACTACCGTGTAAACACCTTCATTCCCTGTTGGAGAATATTCTTATTGAAGTATTTTCAAGGCTGTTTGTTGTGCAGATGACAATTAGAGAAAAGTGGTTTGACATGTGTAGACACTAATTTCTCACCGAACACTCCCACAGCCGCACACCGTATGCTTCTCAACCAAATGCAGTCAACGCCATCTTTCTCGACACCAAGTAACACCGTGGAGTTAGAGGACACAACAAACAACAAAAATCAAGAGTTTCAGTTCGGTTGAGACTAAAAAATTTGAACTAAAAATAGCAAAATCATGGGCTATAAATGGGTGGAAGAACACGATAAGAGGGGACTACTTTCGAAAGCCACAGGATACCAAAATTCAAACCCTTTCGAAAAATATAAATCAAGAGAGAAGAAAGAAGAGAAGTACATCGTTCTCCATTGGAACTGGGGCCACCGACGATACTTCATCGGACTAGAAACCGTTCGTTTTTTTCGAAGAGGCAGAGGAAGAGAGATAGTTGAGATCGGGGTTCGATCAGCTTGTAGTCATCGTCGATTTACGACAACGATGGCTTCCTTCTCTCTTTGCGTCGCAGTGAGGAAAGCAAAAGAATGAGAGAGCAGTTGAAAGAAATGAATTCACGCGTGAAATAAGGGTTTTTTGAGTTTCATAGATGTTTTGGTTTAATTAGGATACTAGCCATTAAGGAGTTCTTCCTTTGTAGCGATGGAATAATATTTTTATTTCTTTCAATTTGGTCACTAATTGCATTTGTTTTTATTTTGGAATCTCTATCTTACTTTTATTTTAATTTAGTCATTTCTGTTTTATTATTATTTTTTTCTTTCACGGTTTTAGTTTAAATATTTTTTTATTATTTTTATATTATTTTTTAACTAACACTTTTACTTTTTTATTTTATTCATTTTATTTTCTTTCTTTATTTTAATTTTTTTATTTTTATTTTAATTTTAATTTTAAGTTTTTTGTTTATTTTCTTTTTTTTACTAACTTTTAATTATCTCTACTACCTATTTTATCTTAGAATTTTTTTCATCGTATTTATTTTTATGTTATTATCTAACATTTTGTGGTATTTTCAGTGGTAATTTTAATCGATCAAAGGTAATTATTCGAATCGATGTTTTAAATTTTAAATTTTAATTTTTAATTTTTAATTTTCGCCGTAAAGACAACCGATAAATTAATTGGTACTGAAAGGGCGGTTCAAGGGTGCTAATCATTCCTTGACCGTAATCGACTCTCGAACCCGACACATTTATGTTGAAACACAGATCAGGTAAGATGGTGTTCGATCAGCCCAAATCTTATTTAAAATGATCGATGGCGACTCCAAATCATTTTTCTTAAATCGAAACCCAATTCCGAGCCCAACCGAAAGACGGTTTCAACAGCTTGGCGACTCAGCTGGGGACATGTAAGTGAGTCAGGCCAGAATTAATTTTCGATTTTCTTTTTATGCGAAAATAGTAAATTTTAATTTTAATTTATTTATTTGATTCCAATTATTTACCTTTGATATGTACTACATTTGTTTTCAATGATTTCAGATTTTTCAAAGTTTTCATCTAAGGCTCTATACCCGAGCTCCAAACCCTTTTA